CCTTGTGTGGGTTTTGACCATATAACCCATGTGTTAGTAATTTTGGCAGTAGGGCTTTGTGACTATAGAGACTCCCTGCCACCTTCCAGTGCTCCAATAAAGACTCCAAATTTGGCTTTTATGTGGTGGCTTCCCTGTTCTCAATTATAAAGGATGCACAGAGTGGTGACAGTTTCATAAGTCAGGTAATGAACACATCTCCTTTTGGACAATGTCACCCCTTCTTTTGCTCTCTCCCAGTTTTTTCTTCCCATCCCCACCCACAAGTTGTAAAGTTCATGTTCAACATAGTGTCTAGTGAGCACCACTGCTGCATTTGCTCATCCTCTGTCTTTCCTTCTCTGTGTCCCTCTTACCTTCACAAAGACAGATAAGCAAATAAACACAACAAAAAGAAAACAAAAGGAAAACCTCTTGTTTCCATTTCCTGGAGTTCATTTCAATAGATTCTATTTTATATGATCAGAGGCACATAGCCACTGCATTGTGCTTTGTGCTCCTCCCCTAAGGGTGTCCTTCTTTGGTCCAGTGAGGGCACTTTTATTATGCATTTGACATTACCATGTTTGAACTCAGGGCCTTATGCTTGTTCAGCTGGCCCTCTACTTCTTGAGCCATACCACTTGGTACCTGAACACAGGAGTAGAAAGTAAATGTTTTCTACTGGGGCTGGTGTGGAAGCAAGGGACAGTGGCTAAAAAGCAGGGGGCAGCTCAGAGTTTTCTGTGTTCCCCAGGTGTCATCCATGTAAACCCTGGCCCCTAGGGCCATCAGCAGCACCCAAGGCATGGAGCCCAGTCCGGGAACACAAACACTAGCCCATTTGGTCCTTAATCCTCACAGGCCATGGGCTAGGAAGACAATGGAGGCTAGCTGTCCCCAATAGGGGAGGCAGGAATGCTGTGGGATCATGGCATACTTGGGTACCAGGGAGACATCCCCAGCTAAGAATTTCAAAGCATGTGGGGGTGGCAGGAGGTTTGGGGAGCCCTTGAAGGGAGGCTGGGCCAGGGAAGAGAAGTAGGAAGGGAAGAGTCGCAGAGGACACAGAAACCAGCATGGCTAGGTGGAGGAACTATCACTACTTTCTGATTAGAGAATTTCCCCTAAAAGGTGGGCAAGATGAGATGGATCCAAGTTTGCTATGAAGCTGCCTGCTCATGGCCATGAGCAAATGCTTACATTTTTCTAAGCCGGTGTTCACTTAGCTTTGGAAGATTATCCACATTCCTGACACTGTCTGCTGCCTGAACAGAAGAGATTACCTACATCCCCCACAGCACACCTGCCAAGAATGGAAACTGTAAACATCAAGTCAGAATGCTTAGCCCTCAGCTGGGAAGAGCAGAGCCTGGGCTTAGCCAAGCACTTTATAGCTCTCCAGTGTGATCCTAACAAGTGTATCGATGCACAGGACATGTAAACACAAGCAGACATGTATATAGAAAGTCAGGGAGCTCTTGCTGGTGTGGATGGGGAGGGGGTGGCTACTAAGTCTGCAAGTGGTATTCCTGGGCCAAAAATGGAGATGCCTACTACTGTGTCATCCAGTGGGTTTGCTCCTAGATCTATAACACAGGAGAACAAGGATGTGACACTGGGCAAGCTCAGGCAGAAGCTATGTGGGTATCTATCGTCTGATCAGAGGTGGGAAATGAGGGCGAGGTGGTGGGTGGATCATTCCCAGGTAGTTCTTAAAGACACTGCTGAATAGGGACAGAAGAAGCAGGACTAGAAGAGAGAGGGGCAGAGCTGCCTAAATTAAAGCATACCGTGTCACATTGTAGGAACTCAGATATACAGGAAGTAAGTTGTAACGCTTGTTGGAAGGATGGGTGGATATGGTAATTAAAGGGAATGCATAAAGGCAAAGAGGTTGTATAGAGAACAGTGTTGGCATGGGTGGTCATGAATTGAGAGGTGTCATTAACTTGCTCCTTACCAGGACCCAGATACGCTTCTAGACTCCTGAGTCACACACCAGCAGCACAGGTCTGTGGGATCCAGGGAAGGGCTGGAGCAATCCCTGCACCTCAAGAAGGAGGCTGGAGAGAAGAGGAAGGCCTCAAAGGTGTGCAGTGCCCCTCAGGCTCTAAGGGTTCATGGCCTCCAGCAGGTCTGCTGAGTATAGGTGCAGTTGAAGCCCTTTTACCCTTCAGAATGGGGGTCTGGGTGGAGATGCCCTTGGGATTGAGCCTGCCTCCATCCTGACAGCCAATACTGAAATCTAGAAGAGTCTTTGTGTCCTGTGCAAGCTCCCCAGGGAGTTGTTGGGAAGGTCTGCTTAGCATGTTCCGCAGGGCAACTCTTCCTGGTCCCTCTGGCTGGGACTGGGGTCTTGGTGCTTCCATAGATGTGATCTGAGGCTGTGATCATCTGTAAAGCAGCTCTGCCTGCAAGGCCCCCTGGGAGCTGGGCACATACAGAGCCAAAAGCTGACAAGTTTCATGTTCTACCAACTGAGGTAGCCAGGCAGCGACAGAGGCTGACACGTTTCATTGGTAAAGCTGCCAAGGAGCTGTAAAAGCAGAGGGGCTGGAGCTCTTGGATGATACAATTCACTCCTAATTTCCAATCATCTTCCACAATTTGCATCCCTACTTTGCCTTTCCAACCTCTGGGCCTTCCCAAATAATAATCCAGCCAGGAAATATTTAAAAATGAGTAGATGGGCCTTCAGTCAGAGCTGACACTAGTCATAGCTATACTTACCTCTGGTGTGATCTAGGCGGGAGCCACTGCTCTGCTGCATTAATGACATGCTATTTATTGTTGGGAACACGGTAGTTGGTTTGGCTTGACACACATAGAAGAATAAATCTTGTCAACAACAAGCCCCCAAACCTTCCCAAGACCATTATCACTTGGGAAGTGGATATTGTACATGCACAAAAGATGACAGTGTCCGAGAAATGAAAACAGGGTTTGGAGCTGCTATTATTGGATTACTTTTATTTAAAAGAACAAGGGCATCAATTGGGAAAGGCAAGGGCTCAGAGCCTCCTTAGCCAACATTATGTTTTTCTATGGTTGATGTCAAGCATAGCCAATCAGGAACTGTGAAATGACCAACGTGATACTTACCTATAATTGCAGAGGAGTGTGATTAAAAATGTATTTTGCTGCCAGGCAGAGCGGCACATGCTTGTAATCATGCTAGCACTCAGGAGACAGAGGCAGGAGAATAGAGTGTTAAGGCCAGCCTGGGCTACATAGTGAGATCTTGTCTCAGAAGCATGTCTAGCATTTATTGTGTATTTTATTATAAAATTATTTGTGATGGAAAATACTGACTTAAATATAGGTGAATAATTGTGTGTGTGTGTATGTGTATGTGTGTGTGTGTGTGTGTGTGTGTGTGTGTGTGGTATGTGCTGGTACTAGAGCTTGAATTCAGGCCCCTGGGTGCTATCCTTAGCATTTTCTGCTCACAGCTAGCATTCTACCACTCAGGACACACCTCCACTTCTCAATTTTTGCTAGTTGAGTCTCACAGATTTTCCTGTCTGAGCTGGCTTTGAACCAACATTCAGATCTCAGCCTCCTGAGTAGCTAGAAGTATAGGCACAAACCACTGATGCCAGCATAATTTATTTTACAACACAGAAATGTTTTCTTGCAGACTTCTGTTCTACTTGCTTATATGGGCACAATCAACTGTGAAGATCTCCTGAAGCCAGCACAGTACTACACACCCGATTATGTTTACATGACATTGATTATAACAAGGCCTCAATCAGGAACCAGCATTGCAAGATATGTCAGAATCATGCTCAAGAGAAAGCACCAAAACCCACAGCTAACTTTGTCAGTGGAGCTGGATTTCCTGTTGATTTGCTGTTGGCTGTGGGTGGTGAGGTCAAGCCTCTGTGACAGAGATGGGGGAGGTCCTGAGGTGGTGATCACAAAAAAGAACTGCTTGCTAGTAATAAAAGCCATGTAAAATACTGGGGTGGGGTGGGAGATGCTGTGGTGCTTTCCCCCATTTTGATTGGTTTATTGTTTTCCTTTTCAATACTAAAGACACTCATAGCTTTAGAAATACTTTACTGAAAATTAGTGCAGAAAAAGTCCCTTAGTTAATTTGAGTCTAAAATTTCCTAGCCTTCATTCCAGTTTTTTTTCCCTCACTGAAATAATTTTTGTTTAATTTGTTGTTTGAAATGTGGTTTCTTAGGCACTGAACCAATGAAATACAGCCTAACAGGACTGCTCTCCCCTCTTACTTGGTAGATACATATGGATTTTATGTATATGTATAGTTTTATGTACACAAATGACACTCATGTATAACTTCAAAATCAAGTTAGGCTAAATTCACATGATCTTTTGTTTTTCCTCCTTTACTCAATAGCATACTATAAGAGTTTCCCAGGGCACTGCGTATTTCGTTATATGGCTGCAACATACATTATGTTTCTACTATTCTATTCAACGGTTTAAATTTCTTCCAGGATTATTTTATATTATTGTATTGTATTCTGCATTATTTGTAGTTTTTAACTGTTTACCCCCCATCCGCCTCTTTCTCACTCTCATTTCCTTACCATCAATAAGAATGGAATGACCTTGCTGAGGTTTTCGTAAGTATACCGAGTGTACATAAGCCTGATACACAACAGGCATTCAATAACTGGTAGCTACGAGTAGAAAACCAAGTAACTAAGAGAACAGACTTGTTCTCCTCCCTCCCCGACAGAGACCTGGTGTGAGGTGTGGTTTGGTGCACTTCATCAGGGCCTGCTATGGCTGGGGAATCTGAACTAAAGAATACAAGAAGGGATGGGGTTGCTTTTGCTCCCAGGAGCATATGGTCCAATATCTAGAATGCAATGAATTCTCCAGTTCAAGCAGAGTAGACCATCACCTCCTCGCTGTACCCTCCGGCCATCTTCAGACACCAGACACAGGGAGTCTTGCAGCAAACACACCTCACTGATTATAGTCTCCTCATTCACAACCTCTGAAAACTGTGATCAGACAGCAAACACCATGAATCATTGTATTTGCAAAGATTGTTTATTAGCTGTCTTTACGAAATGGAAAAAGGAAATGCAATTAAGACAAAGTAAGAGGAAAATGCCAAAACATTCCTCTCATGGACTAGGGGAAGCTCAATCTCTGCAGTGTCACAGAACCTGACACTCACTTCCACTAAGGGGCGGGCTCTGGCATGCACCATAGGAAAGTAGGAGGATGATTTTTAGTTATTAATTTTTTAATGAAGAGACTGGAATGATTATAAGCCCACAGGGCTCACCCTTTCCAAGCCCACATGGTTGTACTTGTAGACTGCTGGTCTCCTTGAGTAATGAGTCTCCCCGGGTCAGAGGATGAACTGCATGTTCTTGAAGTGGCCAATCTCTGTCCTTGGCTGGTGGATTTGATTTCTTAGCATAGCCAGGTTACTTGGAGTTGGTCTGCATGGATAAGAGAAAATGAGTTTCTGTGATGTAATTGGGAGATAAAACTGAGAATGTTACAACAAGAGGGTGTTGTGTGAGCCCCAGCTGACTCTGGAGCCTCTCCCCAAAGAGGGGGTAATCGTGAAGCCTGCACCAAGCAATGTGATCACTGCAAGAGGTGGTGCACAGCCTCCTGGGAAAAGATGTGCTCCATCAGGGTTGATGCCGCGGAAGGAAGTTCTGCACCTGGACACTTACACTTCAAGCTATTTGTTACAACCCTGGCTCACTCAGTAAGAGCTCACAGAGAGCTGGAACCATACTGTTTGCTCTTCCTCACAAAACAGAAGCCTATCAATTTGAGGGAAGAAGAGCTAGTTTTTAAAGGATTTTATTCTTTAAGGGTAAGGGCACCATTTTCTTTCCCGCCTGCTCTTCAACTGCTGTTTCCACGCCCTCCAGAAGATGTACATGTATTTGTCCTTCAAGAAGCCTGGAGCTCTGGAGGGAAAGTTCCTGAGCAGCAGCCATGCATAGGCCCCAGGACAGAGACCAGCCAGGTGGGGGATGTGCCGTGCTTGAATTCCAAAGTCCCTTGGATCCTTGCGGTCTCTGACCCCGGGGTGTCTCTGGAGACCCCTCTCTCCCCCAGGTCCACAGGCCCTACGAAGGCAGGTGTAACTGGCTAGTCCTCCAGGATTGGGGTGTTGCAGTTCCCGTGGTAGATCTTCACGTGGCCCTCACAGCGGAAGTAGGTCTCAAAGACGTTGCTGTAGCCATGGTCCCGCCACCAGGTGCAGAGTTGGCGATTCCAGGTGCAGTCCAGCACGTGGAAGAGCTCCGGGTGCTCCATGCCGATCATGGTGAAGAAGTCCTGGTCACCAAGGTGGCCACGGAAGTGGTACTTCTCAGCCAGCTGCTGCACCCTGGAGGGCTCCAGCAGACGGCTGTAGAGAGGGGACTGGCGCATGGCTTCCAGGTTCAGCAGCATCACCCCACTGTTGAAGCCAGGCAGCCCCTCAGGTGGAGGGTCCCCAACTCTGGTGTTGGGGTTCTCATGGCGGAACTGCCAGAACGTGTGTCTGAAAAGGAAGAGAGATCAGCATTAGTCAAGGATGGGGTGAAGGCCATTGCCAGCCCCACCTTAGAACCGTCTTTACCTCTGCCTCACAGCAGCAAAAACAAATGCATTCCCAGGTTCTGAATACATCACCCACACCCCCAAGCAGGATGAACCTGGGTCCCCGGACTCAAAGCCCCATACTCTTTCCCAGCCTCTCCTATTTCCAGATGAGGCTATGATGACAACAATGTCAGCAGCCTCATCATAGCCAAGATTCCTAGAGACTTAGGATAGGCCAGACCCTGGACTGGTGTGTTTTTACTCCTCACAATGACCCAAGAGAGGAGTACTGTATGGGATGACACAGCAGCTAAAGAAAATGATGCATAGGGAGGTTATGTAATTTGTCCAAAGTCACACAGCCACACAGCTACACGGCAGGGACTAGACTCAGGCATCTGACTCCAAGGTTCACATTCTTCAGATAGCAATACTGTAAGTAGAACTTTCTGCCCTAGTTTGTCTGTGATCTTGAAGAAGAGGGGGAAAGGGAGGGAAAACAATCTGAAATGTGGCTGGGGAAGACACAGGAAGCTCAATTTAATCCACTTTCTGCCTCAGAACAAACCACATTTACTGAGAAACCAAGCCTAGCATTTCTGCGGTACTGGGAAGGGCTGGGACTTGAGCCAGCTCTGGGCACATACCTAGGAGTGAGACTGAAAGCAGCTGTGGAGACCAAGAGAGCTTTTGCTATTTAGGAGGGGATGTGACCTCAACTTCACTTCCTCTTTATCAGAAGTAGAAATCCAATTTCCTGGGCACCAGTGGTTCACACCTGTAGTCCTAGGTCTTCAGGAGGCTGAGATCTGGAGGACTGAGGTTTTAATCCAGATACAGCAGAAAAGTATGAAAGACTCTGTCTTCCAAATAATCAGCAAAAAGCCGGGTGGAGCATGGCTTAAGAGGTAGAATGCCAGCTGAGCCAGCAAGCCAAGCAAATGTGAGGCCCTGAGTTCAAACCCCAGTACAGCCCAAATTAAAAAGAAATTCAATGGAGGTTAAAGGATGTGAAGGCCAGAGATCCTCCATTCAAATGCTTCCCTTTGGAGGAGGAGGGTGACATGGTCAGAAAGCTAGTCCCTGTGTTCTCCACCACCTCAGTTAGCCTTAAGGTCTTGTATCTGCAAGAGGTCAGAGTATTTCTACACCTATAATCACAGGCTAAGGCCCAGCAGCAGTGCAGGAGGCAGGGGGCAGGGTGCCCTGCTGCCTTAGGGTAGAACACACATGGTCACTACACAGACCTGCTTCCCAGGCTGGAAATGTCACCCTCTGGCCTCTCCTAGAGAGCCTTTCCCAACCAGTCAGATGACAGGATCTATATGGTAAAGTACAAGGCGCAGTGGGAACCAAACCAGAGCCTGGGCTCAGGAGCCCTGTGGCAGCTCTGTCCTCCAGTCCCAGCACATGCTCCGAGTGAGGGAATAAACAAATCTTCCCTGTGGTCTCACATATCACAAAGGAAGCTGAGCGTTTGATGCTGTAAGGGAATGCGCACCCCGGGGACACTTACAGAACACAGAAGAGCTCACTGAGTGCAGCCCAGATCTGGCTGTGTGAATAGGGCGGGGCTCTGGCGCCTGTTTGCTGATCACAACCTTTGCAAACATAAATAAATAAATAAATAAACTTCTAGATCAAACCGAGATGCTGTGGTCTGTCCCGCCCAGTGCGATCAATCGCCAGGGTTGGGATGCAGGTGGTAACAATTATTTTCCCCTCCTTCTGAGTGACTAATTTCAAGTTGCAAACCAGCTATGATTCTACCAGACTGGTGTCACCACATTTAGTAGAGGGAGACCCTCTGATTGGGAGAGCAGGTGCAGATCCACCAAGTAGCTGATTTCTATCTTCAAGGTTAAGGATAGAGGAGGGAGCGAGGAATCAGCGACCCAGATGGGAGAGTTAAGTCACCCCCATCTCTCCAGCCCATTGCTTCCCCTCTTCCTCATCCAGGGCCCAGAGGAACCAGCCAGCAGGAGAACAGGCTGTCAAGGCACCTCCTCAGGACCATACTGGGAGCTGGGCTGGAGGACTCAGGAAGGAGGCAGTGACCAGCAAGGTAAGATGGACGGTGAGTGCAGGCGACTTGCATGGTCTCTGATGATGGTGGAGCCGGAATGCAGGACGTTGGGCTGCGGTTTCACTGGAACACTCAAGAGCACAGAGAAGACACTCATAAAAGGGTGTTTGGGAAGCAGACAAACCATTCTCAGTCTTGGCACCATTGCCAACCTCCAGCCAGGACTGGAAGACTCCCCCAGAATCTTCCCCTTCTGTGACAGAGTGACCGAAGAGTGGCCTGGCACTGATCTTGCTGGGTGAGAGAGAGACAGAGACAGAGAGAGACAGAGAGACAGACAGAGAGAGACACGAAGGACAGAACATCCTCAGGTGGACACTGTAACCCAGGTGGCTCTGGGAACATAATGCCCAGCACCACCACTTAGTCAGAGGCATCTCATAACAGAAAGAACCAGGGCTGGAGAGCAGCGTATTGTGATGTGAGAGCAGGAAATTGGAAATGCACGTCTCCCAGTATATCCTCTGAAGCAGAAACAGCCTGACAAGGAACTGATGATTCTCCAAGCACAAAATGACCTGTAGGGTGCCCTGTTCAAAGTGCTCCTTCTGTCCCTCATGAGTCTGGGAAAGAGAAAGCACAGGTTGGGGAATGGCCAGTTCTCTGGCCTCCTGGGCAGGTGGTTCTCTGGGAGGAGCCACATGGCTTTGGCTACAGAGAATGACACTGGGGAAGAGAGAATTGTGACGGTATGCTGGGCACTGCAGTGCAGCTATTAGGTGAGCCTTCTTTTCTCCACGCCCTCCCCTACTCCCTAACACAAAGCAGCACAACTGGAGAGCTTCACCACCAGAAACGCAAACCCTCGTGGTTGGGGGTGGGGTGGGGATCGGAAGCACAAGTAGGAAGCGCCATAGCCCCCAATGTGGGCTGTGGGGAAGAATCTGCTCTTTGTCACTGCTCTAGCTTCTGGTGGCATCTTTGGCTCCTGGTAGAGGCATCACCCCAACACCCCAAAGGTCTTACCTTTCTTGGCCACCCTCCCTGTGTGCAGGTCTCTGAGCCCTCATTCCCCTTTTTGTGAACTCACTTGACACAAATGGATTCTGAGTCGCTCTGCTTTATTATAATCCTACCTCAACTAATTAAATCTATGATGACCCTGTTCCCAAGAAAGGCTACATTTGCAGTACTCAGGACCAGGGTTTTAGCATATAGTTTGGGGGCGGGGGATACAATGCCTCTCCTAACAGCAGCCGTGAGGATGGAGGAAAGCACTGCAGTTCATCATCACCCCACTTTCCCTGTACACAGGCCCTCAGGGTACTAGTGGGGTACTTCCTGCCCTTGCTGCTCCCAATAGGCAGAGAATGTGTCACAATGGTCCGTGGGGCTTTGTCCAGGAGAGTAGTAAAAGGAGGCAGAAATAGGTGACAGAAGAAGAGAACACAAAAGGATTCAGGTATGTGAGTGCAGGAAGCAGCCTGGGCCAGCCAGTGGGGAGATGTCTGAAGCTTAAGCAGAAACATCTCATCATTCTGAGACACACAGGACATAAGAGGACCCCTGGGCTGAAAGAAGAACCAGAGGGCTGATCACCCAACAAAGCACTTACTGGGCCAAAAGAGAGGAGAAGAAGTAGAGCATCCTTCACTTCACTGGAGTCTAACAGGGAGATAAGACCTTGTATGGTTTTGCTCACAGTGGCAATCATAAGCTGGAGAGGGGGCATCTGCCCTGGAGTCTGGATTCGAGGGACAGGTATGGGGGAACCAAACCCCAGGGTTTGGATCTCTGGCAGCAACCTGGGGATGGAGGGTCACTGTTCCACAGGGATGCAGGGAGGGGCTAGGAGCAGTCTGGGTACACAGGCTGTACCCAGGAGGCTCTGGCTGTTATGACAGGAAGGCTCATAGTGCAAATGTCCCTCCCTGCCTGACCAGCTCTCCCCAGGTGTGGCACTTCAGTGACCAGTCCTGGTGCACCCAGACAGCTGCCTGGAGTTTCTGTTTCAACACAGCTTCCTGCTCTAGGAGGTGAGCATGATATAGGTGACCTACTTTGTCGGGTTAGGCTATGACCTAACAATCTCCGCTAGTCCCCAGAAACTGGCATGGTACCTCCTAAAGGACAGCCTCATGGGTAAGGCCTCTCACCTGCCATGAGGTGACCCTCTAAATACCCACAGTCCATCTCTTCTCAGAGCCTTCTGGAAGGGCATTGGTCAGCCTGCGGCTTCCACACAGCATGGCATAGCCCAGCTCCATCCCGTCTCTCAGGAGGTACACAAGGCTGGCCTTCACCAAAGCTGCAGGTCTCATCCCATGCACTAGGGGCAGGCTCATCTCCTAATTGGTTGTTCCCTGAATCCCTTTGCCTGAGTGTCTCCACCCTACACCTGTTGTCCAATGGGTAGGGACTGGAGAACCCACCATCATTGAACCCACAAAAAGCTGTAAAGCACAGTCAGCTGGAGCTAGGCTAGACTCTGGGAGGGCTGCATGGAAAGGCCCTGCAGAGGGATGAGGGGAAGCTGGGACCCCACAGAGAGTTTGGGGCCAATAATAGCAATGCTAAGGAAAAGGGTATGCAATCCTGAGTAGGGGTCAGTGAGCATGGAAAAGCTCTGCATATGGCTGATGCACAGGTCAAAGGAGAGAGGACACAGCTCTGGAGAGTTCTGACATTTACTGACTAGAAGAAGAGGAGCAGGGAAAATGTAAGGTCTCGGAGGACCCCAGCCACTGTCTCCTACACAGACAACCTGTGTGCTGGCACTGACTGCCATCAGCTCTTTGCTGCTATGGGGATCCTGGAGGAGTCATAGGGCCACACAAGCCTTTTAGCTGGACTTTCAGACCCAGTCTAGGAGCCTTCAGCCTTCCTTATTCTCCTTCCTCATCCAATAGGCCTTTTGAAGGTCTGGGCCTCCA